CTGACAAGCCAGATTCTGGGAGCCAACCCTGACTTTGCCACCCTCTGGAACTGTCGACGCGAGGTGCTTCAGCAACTGGAGGCCCAAAAGTGCGTAGGAGTTCAGGGCCCCAGGAAGCTGGCCCTGGTCTTGTCCTGCCTGAGTCCGGGGTAGAGGAAGAATGGGGCAGCCAGGGGCATAGGTAGAGGGGAACTGAGGGCTGGATGTAGAAAGTGAGGGGCGAGCTGAGCTGAGGTTGCATGTTGGAGGGCCCTGAGTCCCACTTCCCTCTGAGTGCAGGTCCCCTGAGGAGTTGGCAGCTCTGGTGAAGACAGAACTGGGCTTCCTGGAAAGCTGCCTGCGGGTGAACCCCAAGTCCTATGGTACCTGGCACCACCGCTGCTGGCTGCTCAGCCGCCTGCCAGAGCCTAACTGGGCCCGGGAACTGGAGTTATGTGCCCGCTTCCTCGAGGTCGATGAGCGGAACTGTACGTGCCTGCCTGCTGATTGTGCCCCGCACCCTGGGTCCCTGGGGCCTCAGTAAGGCCCAGAGTTGGGAAGGATGACTAGGACAGGCCCACAGAGCTGATGGCAAAAGGGGTGAAGGAGCCAAATGCATCCCCCATAGAGCAGACGGATGTGTTTCTGAGGGCTTCCACGAGAACTCCAGGGGTACCAGCTGTGCGGCTTCCCTTGCCCTACTTCTGAGATGCACTGTCTCTCCTCCCCTAGTTCACTGCTGGGACTACCGGCGCTTTGTGGCCACACAGGCAGCTGTGCCCCCTGCAGAGGAGCTAGCCTTCACCGACAGCCTCATCACCCGAAACTTCTCCAACTACTCCTCCTGGCATTACCGCTCCTGTCTCTTGCCCCAGCTGCACCCCCAGCCAGACTCTGGATCACAGGGACGCCTCCCCGAGGATGTGCTCCTCAAAGGTCAGCAGGGTCGGAGGTGCTGGACAAGACTCTGTGGTGTTGCCTTTCCAGCCCTGTTACCTAACCCTGTTCCTGAACCTGCTCCTTGGGCTCATTGAGCCCTTACTTTGTGCCTGGCTTTGGGGGCGCCTAAGAGTCAACCCCTGGCTACAGCAGACTCGAGTGTCCAGTGGGAAAGATGCAGCCATTGTGTAGGGCCAACAGATGAATGGAACCAAGAGGTGGCGGTACTCCAGGGCGATGGTGGGATGCTGGGGTGGCCAGGGGCCCCCCAGGGTCCTGGCCATAGCCCGTGCCTCCTTGGCCCCTTGCAGAACTGGAGCTGGTACAGAACGCCTTCTTCACTGACCCAAATGATCAGAGCGCCTGGTTCTATCACCGCTGGCTCCTGGGACGAGGTGAGCAGGGGGGGAAAGAGGCTGGGCATTTTGGGCTTGGAAGGAATGGAAGAGGATTTAAGGAGACCTGAGGGTGTGTCTCCCCCCAGCGGACCCTCGGGATGCCCTGCGCTGCCTGCATGTGAGCCGAGATGAGGCCTGTCTGACTGTCTCCTTCTCTCGGCCCATCCTAGTGAGTCCTGCAGCTTTTGCCGGAGAGCATCATGGATGTGGGCCTGGTGCCATTGGGGCTGACGGGTCTGTCTTTGTCCCCTGGGCCAGGTGGGGTCTGGGACAGAGACCTTGCTGCTCATGGTGGACGAGTCACCCCTGGCTGTGGAGTGGAGGACCCCAGATGGCAGGACCCGGCCCAGCCACGTCTGGGTATCCCAGGACCGGTGGGGCAGAGTAGGGGGCTGGGGCGGGGCTGGAGTGGGACAGAGAAGTGGTGAGGCTCAAGCATTTCCTTAACCCGGTGCTTCCAGCTCTGTGACTTGCCCGCCGCCTCCCTCAATGACCAGTTGCCCCAGCATACGTTTCGTGTCATTTGGACAGCAGGCGATGCCCAAAAGGAGTGTGTGCTTTTAAAAGGTGACACAGCCTCTACCTCTCCCCCTCGAGGCAGCACTTTCATCCCTCTCCTGCCCTCATGGTGGTCCCCTTCTACTACCCATTCTTGTTCACAGGCCGCCAGGAGGGCTGGTGCCGGGACTCAGCCACTGATGAGCAGCTCTTCAGGTGATGGCAGGGAAGCACCCGGACCAGGAGAGGGGCTCTGGACTCTGGGCACCTGGGGTGGGAGGCTGGGCTTGGGCAGATGGTCTCAGAATAGATATTGGGGACAACTGGCACCCCGAGTAAACGTTGTCCCCTCCCCTGCCCTGTGCATCCTCAGGTGTGAGCTGTCGGTGGAGAAGTCCACGGTGCTCCAGTCTGAACTTGAGTCCTGTAAGGAGTTGCAGGAGCTGGAGCCGGAGAATAAATGTGAGGCCCCATTCCCTGACATCCTGCTCTTCTGAGGAGGCCCTTTTCCAGGAGGGCCTCTCGGGGAGAGCAGGAAGGGTCTCCAGATGGGAGCAGAGAAGGCTCTAGGAGAGACAGTCCTTTTCCTCACCCTCTCCTTAGGGTGTCTGCTCACCATCATCCTGCTGATGCGGGCACTGGACCCCCTACTGTATGAGAAGGAGACACTGCAGTATTTCCAGACCCTCAAGGCAAGTCAGGCCGTGGGAGCAGGGATCAGGGAGGCCCGGAGGGCAGCAGGAAGACAGCTGACGAGCCTTCCTTGCCATCCCCCTCCTTGCCAGGCCGTGGACCCGATGCGGGCTGCATACCTGGACGACCTGCGAAGCAAGTTCCTGGTGGAGAACAGCGTGCTCAAGATGGAGTACGCTGAGGTGCGCGTGCTGCACCTGGGTCACAAGGTACGGCTGCCTTGGGCGCCTCCCCGGGCCCACCCTTCCTTCCTCACAACCTGGCCAGCTTCTGTGTCCACTCCATGCACTTGAGTGGAGACGCTCTGGCCTCCCTGTGCCCCTGGCTTTGGCCTCAGCAGGTGCCTTTCCGGATGTTCTCCCTAACCAACGTTGACTCCGTCTTCCTTCCAGCCTAGTCGTCTTTCTGGCCTTGCTTTCTGTCACTTGCCCCCATCTTTCTGGTCACTCAGTCTTCAGTCCTGAGTCACCAGGGCCACCTTGTGCCATCCCTTCTCCAGAGCCAGTCACATCTTTATTCCTCCCCACAGTGAGCCCTCACCCACACCTGCTCACTCTGATGCTTCTCTCCCTGGGACAGGCCCCCGAGCCTAAGGCCTGGGTCATTTCCAGAAAGGTCTGACAAACTTCCCAGACTCTGTTTTCTGTCTTTGTGGTCCTTCCCAGTCAGTCTTCCCAACATAGCAGTTCCGTCACATCACTGCCGCCCACCTCTGCTGCCACCACACTGATCCCCCAGACTCAGCAGGCCCACTCCTGCCAGTGTCGGTGCTTTCCCCGGCGCACTCCTCCAACCCCCGTGCCTGCCTCCCACTCCAAGCCGCCTACGCCCCTCCACCCACCCGCCACCCAACCCCAGCACTCCCTGTCTGTCCCTTGTCCTTGACATGGACTGCTTGGGGTTGTAAGGTAAGCTTGTAACCCGTTCTGTTCCTGTCCTCGGCCAGGGTCCCCAAGGCCCTGTGTGGGGCACAGAGGGTAAGTGCCTCATGAGCCATGGCTGCAGACCCTCCTCCAAGTCTCACTGGATATACCCCTCCTCAGGATCTGACGGTACTCTGCCATCTGGAGCAGCTGCTCCTGGTCACTCACCTGGACCTGTCACACAATCGTCTACGAGCCCTGCCCCCCGCCCTGGCTGCCCTGCGCTGCCTTGAGGTAAAGATTTGCTTCGTCACTGTCCCAGGTGGCCCTTTTTCCTTCCCCCTCAGAGGTCTTCCCACCCCACAAAGAGGTGTCCAGATCCTCCCAGCCCCTGCAGATGACCCCTTGCCTTCTCTGCCTCTGTCACCTAGCCTGACCCTAGCAGCCTTCCCTGCACTGTAAGCTGATCACCCCAACCTCCATACTTGCTTACCCCAGTCCCATGCTGCCAGCTGCCTGCCCTGCCTCGACTTCTCTGCCCTCCCTGCTCCCCAGGTCCTGCAGGCCAATGATAATGCTATAGAGTCCCCAGATGGTGTCGCCAACCTGCCCCGGCTGCGGGAGCTCTCCCTGTGTAACAACCGTATCCTTCCTCCTGGGTGCCTTTCTGGCAGCGGGTGGCGTGAGGTGCCACACTGGGAAGGGACACACAGCAAGTGTGTGGGGAGTTGGGGGGCCGATTGTGGCAGTGCGGGCTAAGGAGAGAGGATAGCCTGAGGCCGTACGGGCCTCATTGCCGTGCACTGGTGGTTTCGCGGGGCGGAAGTGACTCTCTCAAGCCACAGTTCACAGACCACTAGCCTGCAGGTGTGCTTGGGTACCACACGATATTTTAAAATTCAGGAAGTTTTGTATTTAAAAAATCTAGAATTCTGATTCTACTTAAAAATGGGAGATTAGGGACCCCTGGCTGGCTTAGCAGTAGAGTATATGACTCTTAATCTCAGGGTTGTGAGTTCAAGCCCCATGCTGGATGTGGAGCCTACTTTAAAAAAAAAAAAAGGAAGTTAAAGCAGCCTTTGGCCTGCATTTCCACTCAGCCAACCTTGGGCATTGTCGACTGGAGATGTGGGTACCTCTGGAACCAGAGCTAACTTTCTCCTTGGCTATAGTCCACTAGTCCCGGCACCACATCCGACCCACCGCTTGGGCTTCCTGCCTGGCCCCGGGGGCAGGGGTTTGCAGTCTGGAGCCTTACTCTGTCCAGGGCTGCGTGCCAGATGCCTAGCAGCCAGACTGCCAAGCAGCAGCCCCTGTTCTGGTGGGAAAACCGGGATGGTTATGCAGGAGCACATGGGTCTGGGAGAACCGGCCACGCTTTCCTTGACTCTCCTGCCCAAGGCCTCCGGCAGCCCACAGTGCTCCAGCCTCTTGTCTCCTGCCCCAAGCTGGTCCTCCTCCACCTGCAGGGCAACCCGCTGTGCCAAGCAGTGGGCGCCTCTGAGCACCTGGCTGAGCTGTTGCCTTCAGTTAACAGCATCCTCACCTAGAGATCCTCCCCCCTGCCTTGCTCTTTAACTTATTGGGACTGAATAAACAATGGAGAGGCCCCCTTGGGCTGCTATTATGTGCCGCTACTGCCATTACTCCTGCCAGCTATTCTGGACAAGAAAGGGAGAGGGTGAGGCTGTGTCAGCTTTCCCTTGTCCTTTCATCTTCTGCTCAGTTCTGCTGTTTCTTAACCGTGGGGAACCGAAGTCTTCGTACTGGGGCAAATCAGCAAAATCTGGGCTCACCTTCTGGTCTAGGCTGGGGCAGGTATCGGGTTTGGGTTCAGGTTCTGGTCAGGGCTGGGCTGCAGAGCAGCTCCAAGTCTCCAACTAGAAGGTCTCATAAAAGTTTCTCCCATGACTCCTGCCCATTCCAGAGGCCCTCCGTGCCCTGGCTCATTCACCACAGCCGAGAGGGCTGGTCCCATGAGGAACCAGGATGTCTGTGTGCCACCCTCTGCAACAACAGCGTCGGTCCTCATGAGGAGCACCCTGTGGTTGAAGAGCCCTTGAATATGCTAGATCCCAGCTGGCCCTCCCAGGCGCTCAGGGGTGAGAAGGTGGGGCCCACTGTACTGAGGAGGAAGCTGCTGGTAGGGTGCGCCCCGGTGTGCTGGGCTCGTGCGGGAGCCACAGCTGTCTCTGCACCTCGGTTGGGGATTCCTGACTCGTGTTCTTGCTTCCGCATTGGGACCTAGTGATGGGCAGAGCCTGGCCTCAGCTCCCAAGGTACTGAGCTGGGTGTCAGCTCCCACAGAGCCCCCCCAGACACACCCTTTGTCCTAACTTTAAAGCCCTGAGGTGCTTGGCCTTCCTGGAGGGAGGAGAGGGGAGCGGCTCAGGGGCTCAGGCACTGAGTCAAACCTGGCTAGGTGGGGAAGGAGGAACAAAAGGGAGAGAGTGTGACAAGGCATTTCCCTGGCTCCTTGGGAATCTCCTGGGGTCCACATGTGCTCACACATTTCCGGCTGCTCAGAGCCTTCCCCTCTGCCCAACAAGTTCTTAGTGGCAACCTTCAACAAAGCCCTTTGGCTGACCTGCTTGACCCTTGCCTGAAATTTTGATTTTTACTTGTGTGTCCCCTGAGAGTGTTGAAGGTGCTTCCAGGTCTATGGCTTGAGAACCGGGCAGGCAAAGGTCAGAGTGGGTGTGGAGGGCTCCCTGCCAGGTTCCAGAGTCTCAGTCCCTGCTCCCCGAGGCCCCTCCCTGCCTGATGCATCACCAAACTCGGCCCTTCCTCAAGTTTGCTTCCTTGTGTCATCTTGCCAACCCCATTTTCACTGTCTTCTCTCCGGGGGCACATTGGGCGGAGCTAGGACAACAGCAGGATGGAAGGAAGAGACCTCACGAAAAGGGCCCCAACGTTCCCGAACTTTCAGGAGAACCTCCCCAAAGATACCTGACCTCCACTTGGCCTTAGGGTTCTCTCAGTGGCATCCCCGGTATTCCTCCGGTGCCAGGGTGGAGTTGGGAGACACACAGGGCAGGTGCCTGGAGCCGGTTGGTCAGGATTTCTGGGAAGAATTCCAGGCTGGAGAATCCTGGACTCCAGCTGACTGGCCACCCTTCTCGGTGAGAGAAGGGGGTACTCTGCATTCTAGGGAGGGGGCCTCAATTCCCACTCCGGCCGCAGAGCAAGGATCTAAGCCTTCACCAAGCCCCCAGGCTGAGGGGAGAAAAAAAGGAGTCACTCCTACCCTGACTGTAACTCGTCATTCCCATCCCCAACACAGTCTCAGACTTGTAGGGACACAGGAAGCTGGGGGCAGTTCGTTCATGCTGGGGTTGTGAAGCAGCTGGAGGAAGAAGGAAGGACAGATGGGTGGGGGGATCAGAGGATCTGGTAGAGCCTGCAGGTCAGGGGTTGGCTGGTGGAGCCAGTCTGAGGGCCTGGCTGCTGATGTCACCAGTCTGCAGCTAAGGAGCCCGGGACCTCCCTGGGCAGGACCAGTACCAGGACCAGGCCCATGGGCCAGTTTCACGGGGCTGAGCCTGGCCTGGGCCACACCAGATCAGAGCCTGGCAGCAGGGGGCCTGCGAGAGTGGAGCAGAGGCAGGCCACCTGAGCTTGGGAACAGGGTCCCCTGCATAGGGGCCAGGGTGGAAGAGGCACCTTGCCCCATTGCCCTTGGGCTCTCTCACCCAGGAGAGGGTGCCCCTTCTGCCCCAGTCTGGCAGGAATTAGCCTGGAGTGGGGTCCCTCAGTGGGGCAGTCTCACCAAAGCCTTCCACTTTCACCTCAGCTTTGAGTCCTGGCAGACCCCGGCCCCACCCCGCATCATCTCATTGCCACAGTTCCTCGAAAGGGGAAAGGAGACAAGGGGATGGGGCCAGCTCTCATTTCCTGCCCCTACTTCTGGAGACAGCCCCTGGAGGCTGGGCCTCTGCGGGGTGGGGGGGGGGATGGAGCAATCAGGCTTCCCCTTCTCCACAGCTTGGCCCCGCCCTCCCCCCCTCATAAACCACATACCCGCCCGCCCCACACCTTGCACTCACCCCGTCCCAGCAGTCCCGACCTGTCCCAGCCTGGCCGCGGCACTCAGCACTGCTGTCGCCAACACTGCCGCCAGGTGAGGCTCCATCGGGGACTGCGGTGCTGAGCCTGGGGACCTGGGTCGGGCCCCACTGGGGCGCGGACCAGCCAGAGCCTGCCAGCCCGGGTCAGGCTGCCCCGACGCAGAGGCTCTGCGCCCCGGGGACTGCGGGCTCCCTCACCTGCAGTGCCCTGCCACTCCCACAGCTCTGTGCGGGTGTTTGACCCAATGTGGGGAATGCCAAGAACCCCAAGTCCTGCATCTCACTGCCTGTCTTCTGCAGGGAGCCTCTGCTAAGGTTTGGGGGTGGGGGTTCTCTGCTTAGAATGAGTCCTAGAGGCAGGTGGCTCATGGACCTCTAAACTGAGTAACTGGCAGGTGGAGGGAGCGGGTCCCAGGGATGGTCTGTGTACTGGGTCCTGAGGCTGTGACAAGTGTCCTTTCTGGGAAGTCCTTTCTGGGATGAATTCTTGAGGGCAGGTTTCTCAGTGGGGCGTCTGGTTTGGTGGGTGTCACTGGGGGTGAAAGGGAGAAGATTTCTCAGCAATGTGGGTAGTTTCTTTAGGTGAATCTGAGCAGCCTTTGGGGAGGGTCCCTGGTTGGGTTTGGGGGAGTCTCGGGGGCAAGATCAGATAATCTCAGTTGGATGGGACTGAGCTCTCCAGATGGAGGGCTTCTGTGTGTGTTGGCTGAGGCATTCTAAGTACAGGAGGTCTGAGTGGGTGATCGGAGCCTCCCTGCCTCTTCCACACAGGCATGACAGATGGTCCTCGGTCAGATGTGGGCCGCTGGGGTGGGAACCCCTGGCAGCCCCCAACCACACCTTCTCCAGAGCCAGAGCCAGAGCCAGAGCCAGACAGAGGGTCTCGCCGAGGAGGCCGTTCCTTCTGGGCTCGCTGCTGTGCCTGCTGCTCCTGCCGAAATGGGACAGATGGCGATGGGGGCCCTGAGCCCTACGGAGGTCGAGGGTCTCACTCTGGAAGTCGAAGACCGGACTCCCGGGGCTCAGGTTCCCGCCGACCTGGCTCCCGGACCGGCGATGTGAACGCCGCTGGAGATGGCACCATCCGAGGTGAGGCCTTCCTGTCCACCTTCTTTGTGAGCTGAAAAGCCTTAATGGGGGCCTGGGAGGCCTAGGATGGAGGCCTGGGCTTCCCACAGGGCTTCGCTGACCCAGAGCCGTGGCCTTGCAGAGGGCATGCTGGTGGTGACCGGTGTGGATCTGCTGAGTGCACGGTCAGACCAGAACCGCCGGGAGCACCACACAGACGAGTTTGAGTACGATGAGCTGATTATACGCCGTGGACAGCCTTTCCACGTGGTCCTCCACTTTTCTCGGCCCTATGAGTCCTCTGATCATGTCGCCCTGGAGCTGCTTATTGGTCAGTGGGGCCTGCAGTGGGAGGACAAAAGCCCTAGTGTTGGGGGTGCGGGGGTGCTAGCTAGCAGGGCCTCCCAGCTCTGGTATTAGGGTCGGAGGGACATCTTCAAGCTCCTCCCTCACCCCAGTCCTCACCTCTGCCACGTAAGCCAGGGGCAAGCAGGGGGTATGTTTAAGGGAGGGTCCTGGTGTCCCATTTTCCTAAGCTCAGCCTCTTTGAGCCTCCAGGGGCATCTGTCTCAAAATACTTTCTCTTCAAGTGCTTCTTTCAACTTCTTCCTCAACGTGGCTGCTACTGTGTGTCTTCCTTTCTGTGTCTGCTGTCGTTCCCCAGGGTGTGGCTGGCTCTCTCCCTCCTCTCTGTCCAGCTCTGTCTCTCTGTTTCTCCGTCCCCGTGGCCCAGGGCAGGTGCCTCCCTCACCGCGTTGCTTGGTGGCCGTTGACTGCCCAGGCTGGTGATTATGCTGCTGCCGGGGGCGGGCGACTCCTCATACCCTTTGATTAGAGCCCAACCTTGCCCACCCCAGCCTCTAATTTCCCAGGTACCCCCACCACTGCCACCAGGAATGCTCCAGGCTCTGGAAGCTGCAGCGCCACAGAGTAGGCAAGGTTCCTTTGGAATCTGGGCTGCCCTTCCACATGGGCTCCGGGCATCTGGACCCAGTCAGGGCAGCCCTGCTTCTCCAGCACAGCCACTGAGACAGTCAGGCCAGGCAGAGGGTGATGGTGGCCTGGTCTCTTCTACCCAGCTCTGAGTTGAGTGTCAGGGGAACAGGTTTGGGATGTTGGACTGGGGATCTGCCCTGGCATGTGGGCCAGCATCGGGTGGGGACAGAGCTGCTCTCAGAGACTGTCACAGACTAAGGTGATGGCCCAACTCAGGGACACATACACACATGCTGGCTCATACACATTCTGGGTGGGGCTGGGAGAAATCTAAGGCTCTATCTCCCCTCAGAGAAGCCTCACCAGCTAACTGCTGCTTCCCCTACTCTAGGAAACAACCCCGAGGTGGGGAAGGGCACGCACGTGATCATCCCGGTGGGCAAGGGGGGCAGTGGAGGCTGGAAAGCCCAGGTGACCAAGGCCAGTGGGCAGAATCTGAACCTCCGGGTCCACACCTCCCCCAACGCCATCATCGGCAAGTTTCAGTTCACCATCCGCACACGCTGCGAGGCTGGCGAGTTCCAGTTGCCCTTTGACCCCAGCAACGAGATCTACATCCTCTTCAATCCCTGGTGCCCAGGTGAGCCTGCTGGAATCAGGAGCAGGGCATGGACAGGAAGGAGGACCAGTCAGAGTTTCCCTTCTTAGAATCCTAGACTAGGTCCCTGGCACTAGGAGAAGCCAGCCTCCTGTTGTCCAGGTGAGGCGACCGAGGTCCAACCTGGAAAGGTGACAGCCCAAGGTCATGCAGCCTTGCCTCTGCTGGTGAACAGCTCTGGTTACAGCCGCCTTCCTCCCACCATCTCTGTCACGTTCCCTCCATCCTTCCTGGGAGAGAAGTGCTGTCAGGCTAGCAGTGTTCTCACTCCTCTGTAGACAGTAGTTCTGCAGAATGGGCCCAGGGGCAGGTAGGTCCCAGGGAGAGAGCCAGAGGGGACCAGGTATGTGTGTTTTGGGGACACAGAGGACATCGTGTACGTGGACCATGAGGATTGGCGACAAGAGTATGTGCTTAATGAGTCTGGGAGAATCTACTATGGGACTGAAGCCCAGATTGGTGAGCGGACCTGGAACTATGGACAGGTATGGATGGCCATGGCCGCATGTGCCTGGGGGATAAAGAGGCCAGTGGGGTGGGGTGAGGGAGTGGGTGACCTAGGCATCACCTCTGCCCTCCCTCCCTCCAGTTTGATCATGGAGTGCTAGATGCCTGCCTGTACATCCTGGACCGGCGGGGAATGCCATATGGAGGCCGTGGGGACCCCGTCAGTGTCTCCCGGGTCATCTCTGCCATGGTGAGCACCCTCATGTCTCTGAGTGTTATTATGTGTCCACTTCCTGCCCTCTCCGTCCAATGCTGCTGCCTTTTCTGATTTCTCCAGGAACTCGGCCTACCCTGTCCTTGCAAAGGGTATTGTGGGAGGGGTCTTACTCCTTCTCTTTCCTTCTTGCCTGGCCCCACCCCACTCTTCCTGGCTTCAGTCCCAGCTCTTGTGGAATGTAGGGCCAAACCCAAAACTTGGCACACCCAGGATTCACATTACGGTGTCAGATCTGGCAGGGGTTGTGGGGGGACCTGATGATTTTGGGAGGGGTGGGCAGGGCTCAGGCTGTTGGCTGGATCCCAAGGCATTTATGGGTAAGGGGTGGGGGCAGGGGCAGGGGCAGGGCTGGGGACTGCTTGGAAGGTCCCAGACATCTCCCTCCACTCAAACCCACTCCATTCTGTCCTGGGCAGGTAAATTCCTTGGATGACAATGGGGTCCTGATTGGAAACTGGTCTGGTGATTACTCTCGAGGCACCAACCCTTCAGCATGGGTGGGCAGCGTGGAGATCCTACTCAGCTACCTACGCACTGGCTATTCCGTCCCCTATGGCCAGTGCTGGGTCTTCGCCGGCGTGACCACCACAGGTAGTGGAGGGCCTGGGCCAGGAGCTGCCTGGGCCCTACGTGAAAGAGGGAGGGAAACCAGAGCCCCACCCAGTGGTGGCTCTAGTGCAGGGACAAGTGGCGGGGGATGGATGGTAGGCTGGCCTTAATTATCATTAATTAGTGTTAACTACTTAGAGAGGCCTAGGGGAAAGGAGGGAGAAGAGCCAGGCAGGGACAAGTCAGGCAGGTAGCCTGGCTTCCCTTAACCCCCAACGCTCCCTGGCCCCAAGGCCTCCAGACCCCTGACACCATTTGGCAACCCCAGTGACCCTTGTCACCCTGTTGTTCCTCACCTGATACCTTGCTTCCCCACCACCCCCACCCTGTCTGGGCCCTGAACCCTAACCCTGACTCCTCCACAGTGCTGCGTTGCCTGGGCCTGGCTACCCGCACTGTCACCAACTTCAACTCGGCACACGACACCGACACATCTCTCACCATGGACATCTACTTTGATGAGAACATGAAGCCCCTGGAACACCTGAACCATGATTCTGTTTGGTGAGGCTGGGGCTAGACCTGGGTTGCCCATTCCTGCCAAGGGTTGGTGACCACGACCTGGACTTTGAGGGGACAGTGGGGAGGCCCTGAGCAGGCTGCTCAGACCCAGCCCACCCTCCGTGTCCATCCAGGAACTTCCACGTGTGGAACGACTGCTGGATGAAGAGGCCAGATTTGCCGTCGGGCTTTGATGGGTGGCAGGTGGTGGACGCTACGCCCCAGGAGACCAGCAGCGGTGAGGCGGGGCCCTGCCTGGCCCCTGTGTCCCACCTTGGCCCCATCCCCATCTCCCAGCTTGGGTGACAGACCCCGAGTGTCAGGGCCGGTCTGGGCCATAGAGCCAGGCCCTTTCACCCCCGTGTTTCTTTAAATGGGCTTACCAACAGAATCGCCGCCTGGCCTTTAGTCGATCGTTGCCTTTCTGCGTAACCATCTATTTGCCTAGATTTCCTTTGTTTATGATTTCTTATGATTTATATATTCAGATGGCTCAAAAATCAAAAGACTCAAGAGAGTTCAGTAAGAGGTTTCCCTCGCAAACACACCCACTCTTCTCATTTGCTTTTTTACTCATCATCCCAGAGATAATTAATTGAAGGGCTCTTTTATTTAAATATATATATTTATTTAAAGCTAAAAAGGTCATTATAATAAATAGTACATGCCTGGAAGGTGGAGTGGGGGAGTCTAGAATTGAATAACACAAAATGTAAAAGTTCCCTAATTCTCTCTCGGGACGTTTTTGTTTTGTCTTCAGTAAATGTCTAGGTCCCACCCCAGATCTGACCCATCAGACATCTCAGGGATAGATGGATACTAAGAATCTATATTTTTGAAAGTTTGAAAGTTCCCCTGCTGATTCTGAAGATCAGCTGGGTTGGCGACCACTGCAAGCTCTTGTGGGACACATGGCAGTGGTGGCCCAGAGAGGTCAAGTGACTTTCTCTAGGGCACAGAGCAGTAGGTCAGCAGCAGAGCCTTTCCTATCCCTGACTCCTCCCTTCACACATTCTCACTTTCACCAAGTTCCCCTCTTGTCTGTTCTGTTGCTCATTTTGAGTTGTATGTATGGTACAGAGTAAAACCAGAGTTCAGACAGGTTTGAAGAAGAAAATAGCCCTCATAACCCAAACCTCAGAGACCATCACTGATGTCCTCACCTGCTGATTTCCTTTTCCCCAGCACACACATTTCTGCCAAAACTAGACCTGCTGTACAGGGTTCTCAAACAGCCCTCCCTTCCCACCTTAACATTCCAGGGCTAGGCAGCCAGGCCTCCCCACTCTTGTTGCCTTCTTCCCCACCTCTCCCTTCTTCACCCCATGTCAGATGGCATTTGCCTAGCCTACATTCCTTCTCTCTGGCCAGATCCCTCCCTCTCAATCATCTCTGAGAATGGTGCTCCCTGACTCCTGCAACCCAGTGATGCCCACCAGGACAGCCTGGCCCTGGACCCTGGGAGAGCTGAGTTCCTGTCCCCACTCTGGGGAGCAGTGGGGTGCAGAGCCCGCGGGGGTTCCGAGGCCAGACAGACCCAGGCTTGATTCTAGCTTGATCACTTCTCAGGTCACCTTGGGCAAGTTGCTTGCACCTTTGCACTTTGGTGTTTCTGTAATATGGGGATAATATATATATATACCAGATAGGGTTGTTGGGGGAATTCAATGAGGTCATCATACATTCGAGAGATTAGCAGCATGCCTGGAGCATAGCAGCTTCTCTGTCAATATCCGTTCCTTCCTTTCTCTGATCTGATTGTCTTGTCAGACCCTGGTATCTGTTTGGCCTCCCTGGGCCTGTTTCCTATCTGTAAAGGAAACCATAGTGCTGGTGTTTTCTAAGATTCTTTTCTTTGTGTCTTTCTTTTCTTTTCTTTTTAAGATTTCATTTATTTGAGAGAGAGAAGAGAAAGCACAAGTCGGGGGAGCAGCAGAGGGAGAGGGAGAAACAGACTCAATGCTGAGCAGGGAACCCGATGTGGGGCTAGATCCCGGGACCCTGGGGTCATGACCTGAGCTGAAGGCAGACACTTAACTGACTGAGCCACCCAGGCACCCCTCTAAGATTCTTCTCTGTTGGATGGCCCTCACTTCCTATTTTGTGTTCTCTCTTGCCAAGCTTCTTCCTTGTCAGTCCATCTCCACCAGAAATCTCCCCTGAGTATGCTGAGAACAGACTCTATTTCCCACCAGCTCTCTTCCCACCTCCCCATAGAGAGGACACACTGCAGGCTGCAGAGCTGAGGGTTTGTTCTGGATCTTTCTGGAAGGGTGGCTCTTTTCCCAGCCAGCAGGCAGAGCCACAATGGGCTCTGGGTTCATCTTGATGCAGGATGGGGGTCCTGACCTCTGGGGTCACAGACAGCCACCATCCAGCTTCGGCCAGTGGAGGAAGGATGTGCCGAGGATTTGGTTGTCAGGGCAGGCTTGTCCCACATTTGGCCTTGCCCTGGTTGACTGAGGCCAAATGGAACCGAACTCTTCTTTGTGTTCCTTCCCTGGGTTGCACCAGGCAGCAGCTGACCCGGAGGCAGTGGGCAATGGGCCCGGTTGGGTGGGCCTCTTGCCAGGATCAGAGGGTTCCCTCAGCCTCCTTTGATCCCCCCCTTTTTGTCCTGCTCCCCTAGGCATCTTCTGCTGTGGGCCCTGCTCTGTGGAGTCCATCAAGAATGGCCTGGTCTACATGAAATATGACACACCCTTCATTTTTGCCGAGGTGAGGGCTCTGCTCCAGGTCCTTCTCAGGCAGTCTGATGGGACGAGAGCTCTGGCATCAGGCCTGGGTTCTCTGGTCCTGACTTCACTGCTGACAGAGTAGCTGTGTGACCTTGGGCAAGTCATTCGTTCTAGAGTCTTGGTTTCCTCCACTCTGAAAGGGTGATAATCATGGCTGCTATGCTTCCTGTGCTCAGGATCAAAAGAAATAATGAGTATGAAACTGCTTTATAAGTCGTAAAGCCACTGGATGAGCCTAAGGGATTACTGTTATTAATGCCAAATATACTACACGGAGCCTCCCAGCTTCTTATCTCCGCCTTCATCTGGCTCAGCTTGGAAAGTCTCCCAGTTCGACTGTGCAAGGAAGTTCCCAACCTTTGGATCCAGCCCTCCCTGCAGGTGGGGGTCAGGCCCACCCTCAGACCCTCAGGCTTGCTCCATCCTGGCTCATTGCCCCCCACCACTCCCCTCCCCTGACAGGTCAACAGTGACAAAGTTTACTGGCAGCGACAGGATGATGGCAGCTTCAAAATCGTGTATGTAGAGGAGAAGGCCATTGGCACACTCATCATCACAAAGGCCATCGGATCCAACATGCGGGACGATGTCACCCACGTGTATAAACACCCAGAAGGTACCAGTCCTCCGGCCTGCTTGGCTCTGGCCAACCCCCGGGGTTCCCAATGAGCACCTGCCTACTCCAGCAACAGCCACAACCTCACCCCAACCCTCGACCCCCACCCCCACCCAGGCTCAGAAGCAGAGCGGAAGGCAGTGGAGACAGCAGCCACACATGGCAGCAAACCTAACGTGTACTCCAGCCGCGACTCGGCAGAGGATGTGGCCATGCAGGTGGAGGCCCAGGACGCAGTGATGGGGCAGGACCTGGCAGTCTCCGTGGTGCTGACCAATCGCGGTGGCAGCCCCCGCACCGTGAAGCTGCACCTCTACCTCTCGGTCACCTTCTACACCGGGGTCACAGGGCCTGTGTTCAAGGAGAGCAAGAAGGAAGTGGTGCTGGCACCAGGGGCCTGTAAGAGCCCCTTCCCCAGCCCTGCCCCATGGGCGGCCGGGCACCCTGGGGCTGTGGGCCCAGGGACCCCCCCGGAGGATGTGTCTGGGTAAGAAGTCCCCCGTGACACCTTGCGTCTTCTCCACAGCGGACCGCGTGTCCATGCCTGTGGCCTACAAGGAATACCGGCCCCACCTTGTAGACCAGGGCTCCATGCTGCTCAATGTCTCGGGCCACGTCAAGGAGAGTGGCCAGGTGCTGGCCAAGCAGCATACCTTCCGTCTGCGCACCCCAGACCTCTCCCTCACAGTGAGTGTGGCTTGCTGGGTGCCCCGGGTGTGTGGGGGCGGGGGTGGGGTGCTGGGAGAAGGTGGAAGGGAAGGGGCGAGGGCAAGAAGGTGGGAGAGGGCTGGCCTGGCGAGCAGTTCCAGGAGGAGATCGGAGACTGGCTTTGGGCCCTTGAGCCTCCGTATCCTCATCTGTAAAATCAGATCTCATATTCCTGATTGGAGTTTCTTCTCTGGCTTTTGTGGAGCCCTGTTTCTCACCAGGGTGGAAATGTGGGACTTGGGGAGATGTTGATGCAGAGTTTTCCCTCTGGTGGAGTGATGGTTCCACTGTATCTGGCTGGGCTCTCTGACGTGGAGGGGGCTGCTTCTTCTCCTAGTTATTGGGGGCAGCTGTGGTTGGCCAGGAGTGCGAAGTACAGATTGTCTTCAGGAACCCCCTGCCTGTCACCCTCACCAACGTCGTCTTCCGGCTTGAGGGCTCCGGCCTACAGAGACCCAAGATCCTCAATGTGGGGTGAGTCTGGCCTCTCCCCACCCCTGCCCTTTTCTGCCCTGGGTCCCACACTGCTTCCTCTCTTGGTCAGGACAATAGTCATCCAGAACCCAGTACAGCAGCCTGGAGCCAGCCAGCAATGTCTCCTGACTCAGTTCAGGGCCAGGAGCAGTTAAGAAGATCTGGCATGTGCCTAGTGCCGGGCTGGTCCTTCCCCGCCATCTCCCTGGGGAGCCAGCGCTTCCCTTAGGAATCATTAGCAACTTATCATTGCCACATGCCCAGCACTCAGGAACCCACTGGGCACTTCAGGGTCGTTATCTCCTTCGCAGACCACAAAAACCCTGTAAGGTACATTTGAGCTCATCATATGATTAAAAGCAAAGCCTTGGGATCCTGAAGACTTAGGTTCAAGTCCCAACTCCAACACTCACTGGCTCTGTGCCCTGGAGCAGGTGACTTATCTCCTTGAAGCCTATTTTCTCACCTGGAAAGTGGGCATGACAACACTCTGGGTTCTGAGGGAGGTTCACAGAGCTAGGTGAGATAGGCACGTAAAGCATTTAGTTTGGCCTTGGCCCAGCGTGAGTCTCTGTTGGTTGTTTTTATTTTGATTATGGCCACCGTCGGCCCCGCTTTACTACAGGAAAGCTGGCAGCCATGCCATAAGGGCCATAAGGGGCATGCCATAAGGGGTAGATGGCGCTCTTCCCACCCTGACAGGCAGGCTCACAACCCTCTTGCTGCCTTTGCGTCATGAGGGCGGAGCAGCAGTTCCCAAGGCGAGGGCCCTGTGCCTCAGGCCCCCCATCAGTCTCCCTGGGCCTCAGCCCCGGCCAGGCGAGCCTCCATACCCAGTGAGACGACACAATCTTGTGTCCCGGGCCTGTGCTGTCATCTCTGACATAGATGTGCACACGTTGTGATGTCCCTCCCCGGAATAGCATAGAGGGAAAGCAGAGAAGGCCAGAGGTTGACCTTTAAGATCAGACTTCTGAGGACAGGGGCAGGTGTTTTCCTCTTTTGACAAAGAGTGCCTGAGGGAAAGGGGTGGCCCCTGTGGAGGAGTGGGGTGAGGGAAGCAGGGGGTCCCTGCCTGCCCTGCCCACTCCTTCTCCTGACACACAGCAGGCTCTGCCCGGCGGTGGCCGCTCACTTTTGCCAACAGGCCAAAGCTGAATAGTTGCTATCCTGATCTTTGCCCCAGCCTTGACCCTTGGTGATGTGATATGCCACAGAAGAGTGCTTTTCCCCATTCACCCTATGTGGGTCCCTGTCACCTTAGAGAGTGCAGCTTGGGGCTCCCGGGTAGCTCACCGTGTAGACATCTCTCACCTGCAGATGATGGAGAGCGGTTTCCAGAGCTGGACTCCCCTCAGCACCTCCACCAGACCTTAGATTCTTGCCCCCAAACTGGGAATACAGAGGGGACCCCTGTGCTGAGCATGGGGGGAATCCATCCCCTCTCTTTAGCTGTGAGGCTTGTATGAGCCCTCCCTCCAACCCCTGCCTTTATAGGCCCCAGTCCCTGCCCCGTACCCCCAAACAAGAGGTTTGGATGATGGTTTCTCAAGGCAGGTTCTCCTTGGACATTCTTTGGCTCCTCGCTACTTCGAGCCCAATCTGGAGTCTACAGAACAATTGAGAACTCTGAGGGGAAGTGCCTGGGCTGGTGGTTCAGATATATTAGATTCCAAGTTGGGTGTTACTCTGCTCTCATTGGCACATCAAAGGCTGTGGGATGGAAACCCCATTAAGCCTAAGGTGTGCCTCCCAGCGGGGCAACTGGCCACTTAGTAAACATTCCAGACTTACTCCTCCAGATGGCTGTTGTCAGGGCCAAACCAGTCACCAGGGGAGGCTGGAAGTCTGTTCCAAGCCCTTCTGGGGAATTTCCCCCACAGTCTGAATCATAGTCTCTAGAATGTCCTTAGGGTGGCCTTCTGGGACAGTTTTGACTTTGGGGAAACAGCCTGAGGCTATTTAGAGCTAAGATTAATTAATAAGGCAGATGAACAAGATGGGTGGGGATGCCCTCTTCCATCAGAAATGAAGCTTGGCTGTAAAGGAGGAATGGGGTGTCGGGCAGGGGCTGGGGTGTGGGGGGTGAGACAGAGACACTAGACTGGGTACACTTGATGGGCCTGTGGTTTTCAGTGGCTCAGACGAAAAGTCTGAGAGGAGTTTTTAGAAACGTTTCAAGTCTTGGCAATATGGTTGAACAAGTACGTGATTGCAGGACAGTGCTCATTTGGATGTCTCATTTCTGGTGTCCTTGTCAGAGAGTTGGTTTCATTACCTGCACTCAGTTTCAGGCACATTCCAGCTGTAGCAGCTGATGTACCGCACTTAACTCACAGACGTGGGTGTGGCAGGGTCACGGCTGACACCAAGGTCAGGACTGGGAGAGATCTTGATGTTGCTGGCTGGAAGCTGGAAAGCAGCTTCCCCTAGGAAACATGTTACAAATAAAGGCTGTATTCTGCAATAGTACAGTTCAGTTCTAGTGTGAATTAAGTAGAGTGTTTTTTAAAAATTTGTATTTATGGGCGCCTGGGTGGCTCAGTGGGTTAAGCCGCTGCCTTCGGCTCAGGTCATGATCTCAGGGTCCTGGGATCGAGTCCCACATCGGGCTCTCTGCTCGGCAGGGAGCCTGCTTCCCTCTCTCTGTCTCTCTCTCTCTGCCTGCCTCTCTGTCTACTTGTGATCTCTCTCTGTCAAATAAATAAATAAAAATCTTTAAAAAAAATTTGTATTTATTCGACAGAGAGCATAAGTAGGGGGAGCAGGAGAGGGAGAAGCAGGGTCCCTACTGGCCCGATCCCAGGACCCTGGGGTCATGACCTGAGCCAGATGCTTAACTGACTGAGCTGCCCAGGCACACCTGGAATTTTAAAGGCTAGTCCGAGCCTAAACAACTTGACTCTTGTATCTATGGAAAAGTTGGCAGAAGTTACAAATACAAATTTGTAACCAGCCACAGTATAGCCTATCTGTTATGTTGTAGACTTCATGTCTAATTATATATTTTGATAAGAAGTTTAGAAATTTGGTTTTTAACTTAACAGATAGACTGTATATACTACCTGCCTGCCACTTCTTCCCTCCTTCATGGAGCTTAGAGGCACCTACAAGACTATCTGATCCCACCCCCTCATTTTGCATTTCACTCCCATTTTACAGACCAGAAAGTGAGAATCAGAGAAGTTTAATGACTTATCATAAACCACACAGCTAACAGCGGTAGCAGAAAGAGTACAAAGTGGTCCAGGGAAGCCCTTTGGAAGCAGGCTCCAAGCTAAATGTTTTGTCCCAAGGAGAGTGCATCTTCGAAGTTGGGGTACTGGCTCATTCCCTGGGATGACTGAGGTGTCTGCCCAGAGTCGGGCCCCAGAGAAGAGAAGATCCCCAGGGCAGGCTTAGTTTGACTAGGGGGCCAGAAACCAGGGTTCAGTCAGAGGCAGGAAAGGACAGATGCTAAGAGGCATGTGCAAGCAAGATGGGGATGCAGTCATGTTCAGTGTGTAAAGCGCACACCTGGGCTGCTGGGGGAGCTCAGAGCAGGATAAGGCTTATTTCCCTGAGGGCAGGAGGTGCTCAAGGGAGCCCTCACTGAGAGTGTGGTATGAGCAGGGCCTGGAGCCAGCCCAGGAGCAGAGCGTGAAAACAGCGTGAGTTCAGGGAGGGGAAGGAGCTGACTGTCAGGGCTGGTGGGCAGGAGGAATGGTGGAATGGTGGGGGATGATGAGGCCATGCAGACAGGGCTGAGTCAGAGGGAGCCTGTGTGTCAGGTTAGGGAGCTTCAGTCTCATCCCGTAAGTGCTGAGGAAGCCCAGCCCTCAAAGGGTTCAGCTCACCTCCGAGTTAACAGAGACCAGAGTGGAAAAAAAAGATAGGACCTAGGCAGCAAGAAAGCCAGTTAGAAGGCTGGTGAAATTGTGACTTCCAGAGGGATGGTCTGGGACTAAATAGCTAGATATCCGTGAGGAAGGGAGAAAATGAAGACACTAGAAAGTGTGTGCATACCGACACGTGTATGTCTCTCTTTCTCTCACACACACACACATGCACACACGCACACAAAGTGTCACTTTAAAGATACCAGTTGTCTGTTCTTGGGAAGAACTTTCCTTTTTCTCTGAGATAGCATCCGTCCAATGTTTTGAGGTGTTTAAAGTGCTCCTTCCTGTTTAGAAGGATGATCATGGCAGAAGATAATTTTCTTCCACTTCCTTTCTTGGCAAAACTGAAATTATTTGGCAGTACGGTGCTAAGCCCCAAAGTCTCATTTTTTTTTATAAGGTTTTTTTTTTAAGATTTTATTTATTTATTTGAGAGAGAGACAGTGAGAAAGAGCATGAGCAAGGAGAAGGTCAGAGGGAGAAGCAGACTCCCCATGGAGCTGGGAGCCCGATGTGGGACTCGATCCCGGGACTCCAGGATCATGACCTGAGCCGAAGGCAGTCGTCCAACCAACTGAGCCACCCAGGCGTCCCCCAAAGTCTCATTTTTTAAAAAGATTTTATTTATTTGAAAAAAATATTTTATTTATTTGAGAGAGAGCGAGAGAGAGCGCGTGCCTGCACACACACAAGCAGGGGGAGGGGCAGAGGAAGAGGGAGAAGCAGACTCCCTGCTGAGCAGGAGGGTGGGGAACAGGCAAGATCTGCGGCTTGATCCCAGGACACCAGGAACATGACCTGAGCCAAAGGCAGACGCTTAACTGACTGAGCCACCTGGGCACCCCCAAAGTCTGGGTTTAACTTTCCTTAGTCCTAGAAACCCCAGATGGGATAGGTATGGCTGGTTGTGGTTAGGGCAGGAGCACTGGTGGTGGAGAGGTAGGGGAGACAAGACAGCTATTTCTGTACAGGTCTTTGTGGGAGTGGGGAGGGAGGAGTCCTGGGACGACCAGAAGATTCCCAGCTTAGGCAGCTGGGAGGCCACTGACCTGACTATGCAGAGGCAAAGGCCAGGAGGCCTTGGGGCTCAGGCTTTGTCCTGGCCATGGGTGTAGGGGTTCCAGCTGAGCCCAGAAATGCCTGAAGGTCTCTACTTCCTGCTCCCTCCTTCCTGGCTGCCACATCGCCCATGACCCTGTCTCTGTCCACAGGGACATTGGGGGCAACGAGACAGTGACATTGCACCAGAAGTTCGTGCCTGTGCGACCAGGCCCCCGCCAGCTCATCGCCAGCTTGGATAGCCCACAGCTCTCCCAGGTGCATGGTGTCATCCAAGTGGACGTGGCTCCGGCCCCTGGGGGTGGGGGTGTCTTCGCAGATGCTGGAGGCGACAGTCACTCAGGGGAGACCATCCCTATGGCATCTCGGGGTGGGGCTTAGCCCCTGGCCAGGAGTGATGAGACTGGAGTCAGATGAGCAAGGACATTGCCTCAAGTCAGGGGCCTACTGCAGAGCTGCTCCCCAGAGGCCCAGGAGGGGAGGCTGGGGCATCTGGGGAGGGAGCCATTCTTTACTTGCACAGAGCAGCACAGATGCTAATAAACTATTTTTTAATGAACTGTTTTTAAGGAAACTGTTCTGTCCATTTGTGAGTTCATGCCAGGCCAAGGAGTGTGGACTTACAGTCTGTCCCAGGGACGCATGGGACATTTCTGGCGCTGCTGGATCAGAGAAGGCTGGCTGGTGGGTCAGCAATGGGACCAGCTCAGCAGCTCTCGAGATAGGGCTGCTTAGCACCAGGACAACCTTGAGTGTTTGACCCACCCCCAACCCCAGGGTGCAGCTACTGACCAAAACCCTTTGGAAGCCCCCTGGAGTGGGGTTGGACTGCCTCCCTTCTCTGGCACCTACAGTGGGAGAGAAGGATCTAAACTGCCTTTTGGAGAGACATGTTGGAGGTACAAGTAGGCTGGCATTCTCTCTGAGCAGCAAAAACCACGTTCCAATATTTATTTTCAAATGTCCTCATCTAAGAATTTTTACAAAAGTAATACATGTTCAATGTTGAGAATTGAAAGAATACAGAAGATTGTAAAGAAGGAGACAAGAAGCCTCAGCTACCACCAGGTACAGAAAATAGTTGTTAACGTTGTGTTTTATGTGCTGTTTCCCATCCCTCCCCACCATGTAACTGGGGTAAGCATTTTCCCCCAGCATTAAATATTTTCCCAAAACATCATGTTTACACTGGACAGTGGTCTTGGCTTCCAGACCTTCCTCCTGGTCCTCCTGAGGCCCCGGCTGAGCCTTGGGGTGTTGGAGTGACTTAGGCCCCCACCCAGGTACCCCCCCAACCAGCTACACACTGCCTCAATGAGCCTTACCAGTCTCATGGTTGTAAAGACTGCTGGACTCCCACATTGTATCTGTTTTCCTTGAACTTCAGACTTGCTTATCTCTTGCTTTCTCAGCACATCTACTGGATATCTCATAGATGCCCCATGTGGTATGTGTCCAAGATCGAACTCCAGACCTCCTGCAGCCTACATCCGGTGGCATCCCCTCTATCAGCAACTGGCAACTCCATCTTTCCAAGTTTCATGGGCCCCAAAGCTTGGAGTCATTCTTGGCTTTCCTTCTCTCACATCCCACATCCAGTGGACCAGCGAACCTTGATGGTCTATCTCCATACAGAGCTGTTCAGAATCTGACCGGTCCTCATCTCTTCTTCCCTTCCCAGGTGTTGGAGCTGCCTTCAGCTCTCATATGGGTTGTTCCCCAGCCTCCTGATCATTTCCTCCACTTCCGCTCTTGCCTTCTGGTCCTCTGTTCTGCACATAGCAGCTGGAATGGCCGGGTAAATCTAATCCAGTCAGTCCTCTGCTCAAAACCTCCTACAGGCCTGGCCCCTGCTTTTCCTTCTGGAGGAGCACTGCCCCCAACTTGCAAGGCCAGTCCTGCCCTGTTATCCAGGTCTCAGCTCACAGGCCACTTCGTCAGGGAGCTTTTCCCTGGCCTTCCATCTGATTATTTTCCTGGCCACTGGTCTCTTTAGCCTATCATCCTATTTTGTTTCATGTCCTACCTAGCATTCATTGTTGGACATTGGGGTGTTTTCCTGCTTATTAAATTGTCCCTTTTCTCTGAAATGTGAGTTCTGGAAGAACTGAGACCTTCTGTGTCTTGTTCACATCCCAGTCCCAAGACCCAGAACTAGGCCTAGCACCAAGCAGTGCAAGAGATGTTTGCTCCTTAAAATTTAAAGGCAGCAGCTTGCAAGATGTGACCTTTAATTGTTCCTTGAATTTATGGAGTAAACTCCAGTGGCTTCCCTATGTTTTTATTTATTTTATTTTATTTTAAAGGTTTTCCCATTTTTAATAACAAATGAACAAATTCAGTCCCATAGAATGACCTGATTTTTTAAATTAATCCCTTCTTCCTGGAAGTTTAAGTCTTTGCAATGTTCTGCTATTACATGCATAAATATTCTTATTCAAACACATATATCTTTGTGCTTATTTTTTTATTTCCCTAAAAGAAAAACCCCTAGAGTAAGAATTTTTGGGTAAAGGGTTAGAGCATTTTTTTTAATTTATTTTTAAAGATTTTGTTTATTTATTTGTCAGAGAGAGAGAGAGAGCAAGCACAGGCAGACAGAGTGGCAGGCAGAGGCAGAGGAAGAAGCAGGCTCCCTGCCGAGCAAGGAGCCCGATGCGGGACTCGATCCCAGGACGCTGGGATCATGACCTGAGCCGAAAAGGCAGCTGCTTAACCAACTGAGCCACCCAGGCGTCCCGGGTTAGAGCATATTTAAGGTGGTGGATACATTTTGTTAATAGTTTCCAGAAAGCTGGAGCAGCAACACAACAGTATCTTTTTTTTATTGAACACCTGGGAGAAAATGTGAGAGCTTAAGATTTCTAACAACTTTGTAACTTGCTTCACATTTATTCATGTTACCCTGGTTCCCTGTGTTTATTAGAGCTCAAAAATGCTCCATATCCTCAAAAAGAAATACAGAAACACAAAAAATGGGAAGGCAATTCTGTTCTCCAAACAGCTGGAGAGAAAGAAACAAGTACATGCTGAGCTCCCACAATGGGTTAAGCTCTGGCTGGGGGCTCTAGAGGGGCATCTCCTTTAATTCTGTGGAGGTGGGCATTAGAATCCCTGGTGTCGTGACTACTGTGCTCTGGCTGCAGGCCTCTAGGTCCCGTCTACTAGAACGTCAGGTTGTGAGGACAGAGACCCCCTCTCTCTTACTTAAGGCTGATTCAGTCGGTGACATGCAGCAGGTGTTCTGCAAGTTATCTGCTGAATGGATGAGGAACTAGGTTGAATTGTGACGGGGAACCTGGGAGCTGGGGAGAGCAATGGAGGACTGTGTTTTGAGGCATTTGGGAGAAGAATGTATGATGGGTGACTAGACCAGCTCTAGGAAAGAGCACCTGGGGGACACCTAAATGGGCATCTGGCGGGCTGAGTAATAACCATCCATGCAGACTCCTCCTGGGACTGTACCTCAGAAGACTATACCAAGGAAACCAACTTTATGCCTGTTTATGTTTATTTATATGGTTATTTCCTTGACATCTTTCTTTATATTACAGAGTGGTGGTTTTTTTTTTTTAAGAATTAATTAATTAATTTTGCAGGGGGAGGAAGAGGGAGCCTGAAGTCTGATACACCATCCCATGACCCTGAGATCATGTCCTAGGCTGAAATCAAGAGGCAAACACAGACTTGGGGTGCCTGAGGGGCTCAGTTGGTTAAGCATCTGCCTTTGGTCCAGGTCATGATCCCATGGAGCCCTCTGTTGGGTTCCCTGCTCAGCAGGGAGCCTGCTTCTGCCTCACCTCTGCCCCTCCCCCTGCTCATGCTCTCTCTCTCTCTCTCTCTCTCTCGCTCTCAAATAAATAAAATAAAATAAAATAAAAAGTCGAACACTCAACCAACTGAGCCACCCAGGCAATCCCCACCTTATTTTTTTTTAAAGATTTTATTTATTTATTTGACAGGCAGAGATCACAAGTAGGCAGAGAGGCAGGCAGAGAGAGAGAGAGAGAGGAAGCAGGCTCCCCGCTGAACAGAGAGACCGATGCGGGGCTCAATCCCAGGACCCTGGAATCATGACCTGAGCCTAAGGCAGAGGCTTTAACCCACTGAGCCACCCAGGCACCCCCCACCTTATTTTTAATAAAAAGAAGGTATCCTTAGTCTTGGTTTTAGGAAATCCACTAGGGTTGCTCTCCTAGTTGGTCCCCCTGGACTGATGAAGCAGTCATTGTCTGAGTATCTTGGTGACCTGTTTTGTTTCTCCTGGGACACCTGATATACAAAGGAGGAGGTGGACTTTTTGCCTCAATAGCCCAGGGTTTCCTGAGTATAAAGAACCAGTATTCTCTTTAATCACTTCTGCCCCAAGATTTAAAATTGGGAACATTAGTGTGGGCTGTGGTAGCTTCAGCTGAGGCCTAATAGCAGAGAAGGGGCCCATCCTAGGCTCTGAGAATTGTCTGAGCCTTGAGGGTCCCTGAACCCTAGCTGAGTGGGTTTGATTTGACAAAGCTTGTGGCCAATGCTAGAATCTCCTGCAGCCCCTTGGCCCAGGGAGCAGTCTGGACTGGGTGTCAAAGCCTGAGAGCTCAGGTACCAACCTCTGTGACTGATTTTCTTTTTTTAAAGATTTTATTTATTTATTTGTCAAAGAGAGAGAAAGAGAAAGAGAGAGCGAGTACAAGCAGGGGAAGTGGCAGGCAGAGCAGGCAGAGGGAGAAGCAGGTTCCCTACTGAGCAGAGAGCCTGACTCAGGGCTTGATCCCAGCCCAGGATGCTGAGATCATGACCTGAGCTGAAGGCAGTTGCTTAACCAACTGAGCCACCCACGTGCCCCTCTGTGGCTGATTATCTAAGGGGACATTGAATGGGTGGAAGAAGTATGACAGACCCTGTGGAGAGCATTAGTCTCCCCAAATAATCATGGAAGCTGGAAGGCTGACCCTTTAGGATGGACTACTTGAAAATTCTGCAAGAAGTAAAGACATCAAAAGGAAGATTTTTTTTTTTTTAAAGATTTTATTTATTTATTTGACAGAGAGAGATCACAAGTAGACAGAGAGGCAGGCAGAGAGAGGGAGGGAAGCAGGCTCCCTGCTGAGCAGAGAGCCCGATGTGGGACTCGATCCCAGGACCCTGAGATCATGACCTGAGCCGAAGGCAGCGGCTTAAACCACTGAGCCACCCAGGCGCCCCCAAAAGGAAGATTTTATTTTCCTAATAATAAGCCAGATGGGGTTAATTACAAATATAAAAACAAAAGTTTACAAGTTGTGACTTATAAATGCTTCCCAGATTTATGGAAAAGACCACAGTGATTGTACTTTATTTTAAATAAAGTTAATTTTTTATTAGTTATTTATTTATTTTTTTAAAAGATTTTATTTATTTATTTGACAGAGATCGCAAGTAGGCAGAGAGGCAGGCGGGGTGGGGGGGAAGCAGGCTCCCCGCTGAGCAGAGAGCCCGGTGTGGGGCTCGATCCCAGGATCCTGAGATCATGACCTGAGCCGAAGGCAGAGGCTTAAACCACTGAGCCACCCAGGTGCCCCAAATAAAGTTAATTTTTAAAAATAATGGCTACCTTCAGCCATTCTAAGCTTCTCCCTAGAAAAAGAATTTTTGTCCACAGGTGAACCAGAATTTTACAGAAGATTCTGACTGGCAGAGTCCAGCCATGGTGGTGGCTAATGGACCAATTCTTTTACCCATTTAAGAAATCTTCAATGATGTGTCTCTAGCAATGGACTAAGTGCCAGAGCATAGGACAATCCTAGCTCTTGCCTTATGGAGCTTGCAGCCTGAGAAAGAAACAGAGTAACTGCATGAAATAGAGTAGA